TGTTGCACTCATGCTCTGGTTCAGCCTCTCATTGCTCAAACTTAACATAAGTGGTCCTTGTTTAATGGCTGGTTGCTTAGTAAGTGTTCTAATTTATGACTGACCTCTCCAGAGCTACTTTACCTGTTTTGGGAGTTTTGACAGCCATGCACACACACACACACACACACACACACACACACACACACCCTTCTAACCCTGCTGGAGCAGGTGGTTGGACTAGATATCTCATTCACTTTCTCCTCCCTCCCTCCCTTTCTTTCTTTCTTCTTCTTTTCTTTGTCTTTCTTTCTGTCCCTTCCTTCCATTCTCCCCTCTTTCTTTGTCTATCCCCTTTCTTCCTTTTTCCCTTTTTCTTTCCCTTTTCTCTTTCTTTTCTTTCTTGTCTCTTCCTTCTCTTTCTCTCTCTTTTCCTCTCTCTTTCTCTCTCTCTGTCCCTCCCTCCATATCCCATTCACTTTCTCCCTCCTTCTTTCTTTCTCTCATTCCCTCTCTCTCTCTTTCCCTTCTCCCTCTCTCCCTCCCTATCCCATTCACTTTCTCCTCCCTCCCTCCCTCCCTCTCTCTTTCTTTCTTTTTCTCTCTCATTCCCACTCTTTCTCTCATTCTCTCTCTATCCCTTCCTTAACCTATCTACCTATTTTCTGCCCAGGCAGGTGTGGCCTAATCCAGGGGTCATCAACCTTTTGGACCTCAGGGACGACCAAACTCATAATTTTAAATCCTGTGGACCACTAATTTGAAGTTTGACTCATGGTGGCACAGGAAACTTTGGCCGGGTTCTCAGGAGATGAGAGTGACTCCAGCTACTTCCTCTGCTAATAGGCAAAACTGTCTCTAAGTATCAACAGTGAGGTGTCACATAAAATGGTTTATTCTGTATTGTTGAATTTCTACTGCTTATTGTCTCAGGTATTAAATACTGTCAGCTTGATTAGGAGGGGGAAACATTTACTGTTTTGCATTTCATGATTATCAGAAGCTACCCTCCAACCAGTATAATAAAATGGAACTATTTTGCCATTATATTACAATATCTCTTTCTCTCAACAACCACTCTGCAATGGGCCAGTAACATAAAATACAAGAAGCCTTGCCAAAAGGCTCTGATTTTGTGATAGGGACCCATGCCACAAATACGTGAAATTCTTGATTCCTCCAAAAAAAAAAACAAAAAAAAAAACCCCATGGCAACACAAGGATCCAGAAATCTCCCCTTCAAACAAAGGAATAGTCAGCTGGATACGGTTTTACACACAGTGCCCAAAAGGACTCCAGAAGCCAGGCTTGGGTGCTCCTAATAGACACACAATGGGGGGGGCAGGGGGCACACCCTCGGGCGGGACTGCAAACAGGACACCCAGGAGCTGGCAGGGTTTATGAGAGGGGTGAAAGCAGTGGCAGCGGCAGCAGAGGGAGGGTTTTCTTCCCCATTTGTGGAAACCCCTTAAGGGCACTCCTCTTCCCTTTCAGCACTGCCTCCCGCACCAATTGGAAGTTCAGCGCTTCTGAATGGAGCGCTTCTCTGGCTGCCACACTTTAATGATGGGTGCAGGCAAAGGTAGCCTCCTCGGGGCTGCGTCGCTGGAACAATGCTGGCGCTTCAGGGATGAGCCACTTCCCCCCACCCCCGTGTTAGTACGGTGCAACAACATTGTGTTCTCCTTTGCACAGGAGTTTGGCCAGCTATCTGCAAAAGCGTCTCTCTTGAGGAGCGCTTGACAGTTTGCAGATATCTTGGCCTCCTGTTAGCAGAAAGAAGAGGCCAGAGTCGCTCTCATCTTGAGACCCTGGCCAAAGTTTCCCGCACTGCTCACACTTCAGCTCTTTGACTCCCAGGGGCAGGACTTCAGCCAAGCTACCTGCAAAATTCCACCCTTGAATTGCCACCTCTTAGCGCCCCCCTGCCAGCCCACTTGCCTCTTTGCACCTCCCTAAGGCATCCCACCACCCTCCAGGGGGTGGTACCGCCCACTTTGGGAACAACTGCACTAGATGACCTCACTATAGCTCGCTGCCTTAGAAGAGCGAGGAAAATCCTCAGGGACAACTCACACCCTGGTCAATACTTCTTCACTCTCCTACCATCAGGTAGGAGATACAGAAGCATAGCCAGCTGCACCAACAGGCTGATGAACAGTTTCTACCTGTGGGCTGTCAGACTCCCAAATGGAAAATAACTTCATGTCAACATGGTATGATAGACTTGTGGGGCTGCCACATTGTGCAATAAGTTCACATGATGCAATAAAATAATGTGTTTGTTAGTAGGATTCACTGGATTAGGGATTTTTCTTTTTTGTCTTCACTGTGAGTTGTGTTGGGGGGTGCACGAAGGGAGACTCAGCCAATCTCATTGTACAGATGTTGTACTCTGACAATAAAGGTTGATTTGATTTGATTTGATTGACTTTTCCAAAATGAATTTTTCAATCCAGTTAAGGAAATGTGATTGAGCCATGGTGGTGCAGTGGTTAGACTGCAGTACTGCAGGCTACTTCTGCTGACTGCCAGCTGCCTGCAATTTGGCATTTAAATCTCAGCAGGCTCAAGATTGACTCAGCTTTTCATCCTTCTGAGGTTGGTAAAATGTGGAGCCAGATTGTCAGGGGCAAGAGGCTGACTCTCTAAATAGCTTAGAGAGGGCTGTAAAGCACTGTGAAGTGGTATATAAGTCTAAGGGCTATTGCTCTTCCTTCCTTCCTTCCTTCCTTCCTTCCTTCCTTCCTTCCTTCCTTCTTCCCTCCCTCCCTCCCTCCCTCCCATCCATCCATCCATCCATCCATCCATCTATCCATCCATCCATGGTGCAAAATGGTTAGAATGCAGTATTCCATGCTAATTCTGCCAACTGCCAGCAGTTTCATCCTGAGTGGCTCAAGGTTGACTCAGCCTTCCATCCTTCCAAGATTGGAAAATAAGGAGCCAGATTGTCGGAGCCAAAAGGCTAACCCTGTAAATCACTTAGAGAGGGCTGTAAAACACTATGAAGTGGTATATCAGTCTAAGTGCTATTGCTCTTCCTATCTTGACAAAACTACACATTTTATTATAGCCAGTCATGTCATCTTCTGCCCTAAGTTCTCAAGCACTTTCCCCCAATCTGGCACCCTATCATGTTCTCAGGGTCCTTTTGAATTAAGTGGCTTCATAAACCCATACATTAGATTAAACTGAATTAAATTGAATGTCTGACCTGGTTGACTTTTGCTGGCTAGAAATGATTAAGCTGATGGGTGGCCCCCAGGTAGAAAAAGCCCTTTCAGTTTGTCAGAAGGTGGAACTCTTCTTGTTGGGGATTCTCGAAGGAAGCTCGCTCTACTGACCTTGAAGTGCCCAGGATTAACAGGCAATTGATGGGAAGCCAGACTTGGTGGGACAAAAGACAGACTTTCTCTTCAGAGAATGTAATGCAAGCATGAAGGGTGGCATTATAAATCATCAGAATAATAAGATGGGAAGATGAATTTGGTCCAGAAATAAGTCAGAAGAGCCTAGTATTATTTGTCCCCAAGTTCAGTCCATACTGGTTTCTTTTCAATGTGCGTCTTGCCTTCAGGAACATGGAGAAAAGGTTGACTCCCTTGGGTGACAAGCTGTTCTTTACCACGGAAGAGTCAGAGGGTTTGAGAAGGGAAGTAGAGGCAGATTCAATCATCAAAGAGAATCAGTGTCTTATAACTAGGAAGGTCCTATCTCAACAGAGATTGGGTGGGATTTAAGTCTGCCCTATGTTCAAAACTGCCCTTTCCACATTGCCCTGAGACAAAAGACAATAAAGAAACACTTACAGAGAATAGGTATCCCAATTACCAGGAGGCTCCTGTAAAGGAAACTGTAGAAATTTAGTAAGTGAGAGAGGCAGGTTTCCACCGATAATGAGATCTCCCGGTCTATAATAGTCTTTCTGTTCTTGGAAAGGTCCCCTCCACAAACAGTTTGGCCTCAGGTCCATCTGGACAGCTGCAGGCAAGTTGCACAGCAACACTAAAAGCCAAATCATTGGCCACAGAAAGAGACCTTCTTCTAGATCAAGCCAACAAAGAATGTTACAGGGAAAGTGATGCTTTGATGACTTCAGAGGACTCAAGTGGAGTTTTCAATCTTCACATACACATTCATCGAAGCACCAACTGTAAAAGGACCCAGTTATAGTGTTAAACATGTAGATAGACAAACATGTTTTCACCACAACCTCTTTAGGCTTAGGACGGATTTAATCTGTGGAAATCCACTGAGATGAAGTAA